ATGTCCCGTGTATCTCAAAAAGTCATAACAATGTATCAAATCAAACCGATATCAAACACGTGGAAAATATCAAAGTATAACTCCTAGGGTAAAACTGTGGTGTGTGTCATGCCACCAACCCGAGCCCTTCATCTTGCCAGCCGAAGTACCTGAAACCAAACTGAAAGTGTAAGCACGAAACTTAGTGAGCTCCTCCAAACTACCACATACCATACATCAACATAATAAACACATACAACAAATACTGGGCCCCGCCCACTGCATCGAGCCCCGCCCGACATCAGACCGAAGTCCGGAATAACTTGGGCGCCGCCCAGCATCGGACCGAAATCCGGAGTAACTTGGGCCCCATCCGGCATTGGACCGAAGTCCGAAGTAACTTGGATATAACATATCAGGAACATATAGCATAATCACATATTGTATCGGCTTGCCCGACATACTACACATAACAACACATGCTTGAATCACGAAGACATCAAGCATACATACTACTGCTATCTAAACGGGCTGACATTGTGGCCGTAGACCCGTTCCTACTGGAAGAGGACTCACCTCGTAACGTTGGCTGCTGAGATGCTAAGTCTGAAACAAGCTGACTCCTGCTCCGGAATTTCTCGGCTACAAATTTCATAGGCACTAAATCAGATACTGATAACTGTTCTCAGGGTAAAATGACTAATTTACCCCTGGTCAAAGTCAACCTCCTGGTCAAAGTCAAAATTTAGTTAACCAGACTCACCGAGTTGGGACGCCAACTTGCCGAGTCCCTAACACCTTTTCCAATTCTCTACTCGCTTCAACTCGTCGCGTTTGGCAACAACTCGGTGTGTTCTTCCAAGTTAACGTCGAATCTAACTTCATCTGACTCACCGAGTCAGAAGAACGACTCGCTGAGTTCTTTGCATGCAGATTCCATACAGTTGATTCTAATCCACTTTAGTGCATCCAATTCATAGATCTAAGCTCCTGGGACTATCTGAACACGTAAAGTTGCTAACTTTACGTGTATCCAAGATGCAATGAAGCAATAACACTCAAACTTTATTATTATGGGGGTTATTAGACAAAAACAAATCCATGACTGCCAAAATGTAACGATCCAATTTTCACGCCCAAAAATTTCATTTAAAATAAGTGGTTTGTAAAACATTTGTAGTAAAACATCATCTGATCATATCATTTCATAAAACATATCTCGTGTCTGAAAACCCAAAACATGAAAATAATAATAATGTCAGAGTACAATCCAGAACATCTCATAATGCGAAAATCCAATGTGTGTGTATGATGTGCCGCTACCGCGCCAGCTCCTTCCCCTTCGCTGAAGATGTACCTGAAACTAAATTTAAAAAACTGTAAGCACGAAGCTTAGTGAGTCTCTCCATCGTATCACATACCATACAATCATATCACATACATACTACCAAGCATTTCTAGGGTGCCCGACATACCCGATACGACCATTCTGGGGTGCTGACCTACCCGTACGGCCATTCTGGGGTGCCGACCTACCCATGTCGAGCCATTCTGGGGTGCTGACTACCCTTCGGTCCTAACAACCGAACCTTGGGGACTATTTCACCCCTACTACTACTATCACATATAACATAACATAAACATATTATCAGACATATCTGGGGTACCTGAGCTACCCTTCGGTCCTAACAACCGAACTCGGGGACTAGTCCCCTCCTACTACCTCTATCGCATATAACATAACAAGCCAGCATGCAAACATATCATCACATACTGACAGACGTACCTAGGGTGTCTGACTACCCTTCGATCCTAACAACCGAACACTACTACTATCACATACAACATATCATGCTAGCATATAACATATCAGGTAGTAACAAACCTAGATGATATCACAAAGACAATCATCTATCATACGTCTCCTACTCGTGGGCCGGCATTGTGGCCTTAGATCCACCGCTACTGGAGGGTAACTCACCACGAAAGTAGTTGCTGAAAGTCTGCTTGCTAAGCGCCTGACTGCTGAATCGGTAATCCGCCGGCTATAAATCATAAACATAGATTAGCCACTTATACACACCCTTAGGTCAGATGACTGACCCACCCCTGGTCTAAGGTCAACTCCTTGGTCAAAGTTAACTTCCAGTTGACTGGACTCACCGAGTCATGGCACCGACTCGCCGAGTCTTTCTCCCACTAACCTGGTCCTACTCTACAAGTCCCCCATCCCACTCACTGAGTCACCCTTAACTCACTACTTGGGACGATAGAACCGGCTCGCGATCCGACTCGTCGAGTCCATACGAGCAGATCTCCTACTCGCTTCCAAATCCTCACCAGAGCATCCTTTATGAGGATTTGGGTTTCTGGGACCATTACTACACGTTAAATTGCTAATTCCGCGTGCAGATACGAAGGGTCGGACCTTCAACACCTAAACCCCTCTTACTTAGTAATAGTTCATTTGACTCGCCGAGTTTGAAGAACAACTCATCGAGTACCAGGAAATCTTCATAGGACTCGCCAAGTTGTTCATCCAACTTGTTGAGTCTAAGGCCATCTTCATACAACTCGTCGAGTCCCTTGACCCATTTCCCATATAGACCAAATCTGAGACATGCAACGCTTCAAAACCATAGATCTATGTTCCTAGGGCATGCTTATCTTGTAAAGTTGCAAACTTTACGTGCATGCATGGCCCTACAAGCTCCAAAAGGCAAATCCAAGCTCTTTATGAGGTCATACACTCAATGGGGACCTCAATCACTTCATCCACAGAAACTTTATACTTCTAATACGTCCATAAGGTCTAGATCTGAAGTCCTTTCGGATCATAGAGCACAAATACATGGAGTTGGTATTTTAGGGCTTGAAAACCACCAATTAGGGACAAAAAGGGAATCTAATGAACTAGAGATCAAGGTAGGGACTTTTCTACCTGAATGGAAGCCTCTTGCAGGGTGGATGTCGGATCTACTTCTCCTCCTTGCACTCTTCCACCTAATTCTTCTTCTCTTAAGCTTCAAACTTCTTTCACAAGGCCAAAATCACTCACAAGGACACAAAGGGGCTAGGGTTTCGCTCTACAGCTCTTCTGGAAGTGTTAGGGATAAAGGAGGGTGAGTTAGAGTCCTTAAATAGGGTGCAAACACCCGGGTTAGGGTTTTTGCCCAAACAGGGCCTACTCGCCGAGTCCGGGAACCGACTCACCGAGTCCGAGGCTCAGACCCCGCGTCTCATCCCGCTCCTACTCGGCGAGTTGGTCCTTCAACTCCCCGAGTCCAAGGAAAATTGCATGAATTAAAATTATTCATTACAAGGAATACGTACCGGGAACCAGGTGCTACACAAAAAGGTGGTCTCCTTGAGCTTTTGGAGCTCAAGAGAGGCTAGATCTGAGATATGACTCGGTCACAAGGCTTTATCTCAAAGGATTTGGGGGTTTTGAGCTTAAAACCAACAATTTGGGGACAAACTAGATCTATTAGCACAATAATCAAGATGAAAACTTTATTACCAGAGGGGATGACCAAAGAGGAGTGTATTCTGGATCTACTTCTTCTTCCTTGAGCTCTTCAACCTTCTCCTTCTTCTCCTTTCTCCAAAATGCACCAAAAGTTCCTTCACAAGGCAAAGATCACTCACACACACTTCAAGGAGGTTAGGGTTTCGGGAATAAGCCTCTGGGGAGTGAAGGGGGCTGGTTTGGGGCGATAATGAGGTTTAAATAGGGTGCAAACCCTTGAAATTACGGTTTCATCCAGACTGGCAGACTCGCGAGTCCTAGAATATGGACTCGTCGAGTAGGCAACTTAAACCGCTTGCAAATCCCGTCTCAACTCGTCGAGTACCCCTTAAGAAATGAAAATTACTCTATTTAAATCACATACCAGAAATGGGGCGTTACAGTATGTGTCTGAACTACATCTATTTAAGGAATTGTTTGCATAATATCCCTCCATCCATATTGAATTATATTTCTCATTCGTAGATGCTTTATATTTGATGTAGCAATCAACTTTTTTCATGTTTATGTTTCTTTACTGATAAACTTCCAAAATAATTTGTTAGACTATCTCATAAGTGAAAGCATCAACCAGCATATGGAAACCATGATTAGGCATCTACAAGGCGACTTCATTGAATCTTGTAAAGAATTCCTAGTTGGACTCTCCTTTCTTTTGTCAATATGCTATGATAATCCGCATACATATCTACTATAAGTTTATGAATGTCAACTTAATGAATTTAAACAAATAATATGTTAATACTTTGAAAGTGGTAGCAAGATATGTTCACTAAACCAAGGTCAAGTTGGAGTGACTTCATATGTCATGTCTAGGTTTCACAATGGTTATCGGGGTTAGTAGTACTATCATAGACTATGAGATTTAAGAGCTTTACCTCCAGGGTAGCTGATACTCTTCTAGATCCTTGACAAAAGGGCATGCTGACATTTTAGGTATTTAATCACGATTGCACATTAGGCACCGGTACCCCAAGGTTATCCCTCCAGATTATATATGCATGGTTTTCCTTCATCCTGCTTTTATACGTTATTATTCATGTTGTCGAGGTAATTTATGAGCTTGTCCGACACCACATCGCTTGCATTGTAATGGAAAAGGAATTTCCATTGGTGTTTCTTATACATTGTTTGAGGGTCTTGCCATTTTGTTTGACATCGTCACAAAGGAGGGCATCTGATGCACAAGGCTAAACTCATCACATTCTCGCGATTCTCTCTCACACCTTCGAGGATCTATTCGTGATGTGCGGCTACGTTGTCATTGTAGGTCCCACCGATGCTGCCACCTCATGGATCTCTTGATTTTTCTACATATTGCCATTTTTAACAAACAAACAAACCCATATGTCTACAAAGTCAAATTGAAAATCAAATTCTCCTTGAAAAGGGTATTCTAGTAAATACGCATTTTTAAGTCGGTTATACCGTAAATAATAGGATAATTAGCCTGATAAGTTTTGGACAGTGTTTACGCGGCGCCTACTCATTGGTTCGGTTGTAAAAAAATCGACGCGGTACGTTCTCACTTGATTACTTTTTTTATAAAGAGGCCAAAGCTTCGTTTTTACTGACCTCATCCTTCTTTTTATAAGCACACATGCACACCTTCGCCTCCAAAACCCTGTCTCTCCTTTCATTTTAGGAGTCACAGAGCTTTTCCGGCGGAGGAGCACGTCGAAGAAGCGGCAGAACCTCACAATATTCAATTCCAATGGCCGCTATCTTCCGTACACTTCTTTTGCTTCTTACACTATCAGGTAACTCTTTAAAATTCGAATCCCTTTTCAGTAGTTCCTGAAATTCGAATTAATTACTCACAATTGGGGGGTGTTTGTTCTCTGTTTTTGATTGAATGTCGGGTTTGTTTTCTTTTCTGGAAAAATTCTCGCTTTTTAGCTAATTTTGTTGATTTATCGAATCATATCGCAGAAGCAGAGATGGAAATTCATTTTCGGTTTCAATCTTTCAGTCCACTAATGCTGGATCATTACTAAAAACGAAATAAAGTTTTCAATCCTATCGGTTGTTTAAATGAATCCTTTTCTCGTCTTTTTTCTGTTACTAGTTACCGAATTTCAACTAGTTAGTGATTAATTTTTAATATTTCTTAGAAATCTGAGTCTGAATGTCCAAATTTTACCCAATTGTATGTTTCCCAGAATCATTTATCGGTGTCTTCACCATTGGAGTCGGAGTCAACTATGGACGAATTGCCAACAATCTCCCACCTCCATCTCAAGTATCAACCCTTCTTAGATCTTTAAACATTACTAGAGTAAAAGTCTATGATGCCGATCCACAAGTGTTACAAGCATTTGCAGGAACAAACATCGAATTCATCATTGGTTTAGGAAACGAATACCTTCAAAGAATGAGAGATCCTCAACAAGCTCAAACATGGATTCAACAAAACGTACAACCATACCTCTCGCAAACCAAAATCACCTGTATCAACGTCGGCAATGAAGTTCTCGGAGGACAAGATACTCAATTAGCATCATATCTCCTTCCCGCCATGAAAACCATGTATGGAGCTTTAGTCAATCTCGGATTAAGCAAACAAGTTTACATAACCACTGCTCATTCCCTTCAAATCTTAGCAACTTCTTTCCCACCTTCTCAAGGGACATTTCAGGAAAACCTAATTCAATACATTCAACCAATTCTAAACTTTCACGCTCAAGTCGATTCCCCTTTTTTCATAAACGCATACCCTTATTTCGCATACAAAGGTGATCCAAACAATGTCCCTTTAGAATACGTTCTTTTTGAACCGAATTCTGGATCAATTGATCCACATACGAATCTGAAATACGATAATATGTTATACGCACAAATCGACGCTGTTTATTCAGCGATAAAAGCATTAGGTCATACTGATATTGAAGTTAAAATTTCTGAAACTGGTTGGCCTTCAAAGGGAGATGAAAACGAAGCTGGAGCAACTGTTCAAAACGCTGGAATTTATAACAGAAATTTGATGCAAAGAATGCAACAAGGAGAAAGTACTCCTGCAAGACCTTCGCAACCTATTGATATTTACGTTTTTGCCCTTTTCAATGAGAATCAGAAGGATGGGCCCACATCAGAGAGGAACTTCGGATTGTATTATCCTGATGGGAGTTTGGTTTATAATCTTGGAGTAAAAAGTTATATCCTTCCACGAATAGACTACTCATCTTCCATGAAAAACGTAAGATCACATTTTTTTTTTCATTAAAGATGACAACTTTTTTAAAAAAATTGAATGATTTTGGCTTATATAAACTATATATTTGCAGGGTTTATCTATCTTGAGTCATCTCGTTTTGCTTATTGGATCCCTAGTGTATTTTCTTGCGAGATGAATAGTTATAATTTGGTGACAAGTATACAAAGAAACGTGACTCAAGAGGATGATTATTTGAGGTAATTTAAGAACTCCAATCTTTTGTACATTTTGTACATTTACAGATAATCTTCACCTACCAATTAGTTGAATTCATAATGGCCATAATAAAAATATATCTTCAAGAAATAATAGATTATAATTTGAAAAAATATGCATCCGTTCATTAAATAACTAAAGCCAACACGACAATCATTCTAGACTAGGACCCTATCAACCACCCAAATTTTTGTAGGATCTAGATTCTAAAAGTTTGTTGAAAATTGTGAAATGAACTTTTTTTGATGTGAAATATGGGTTTGATTTAAGAAATTATTCAAGAATTGCTACACAACTTTGTAAAGATATTTTTTTTAGCTTAATGGACTTTATAAGGAGTTAAGGACACGACTTAACCGATACAAGTATTGTTACATATTTAACGTTTTTCAAATAAATAGTCACTTATCATTCAATATCACTTGTACAAAAATGTAAAATGGTCGTTTTATTTATATTTAGTTTGTTCATTAGTCCAAAAAAACGGTTTTTTTTTTTTTTTTTTTTTTTTTTTTTTTTTGTTACATACAGAGAATGTCAACTATGAGAACACAATACTATCTTGTGTATTTTCTTGCTGTTACTACATTATTAATTTATTAAAAAATATGGCCACTAATGTCCACCCCATCTTATCTTCACAAACAATCATGGAATATAGAATCTTATTACAAATTAAATTCTTCTTGTCTTATAGTATACAAAAGTCCAAATTCTGTTTAATCAAATATGAAAAAGCCACCCTTCTCTAATCCTATCGTTTTGGTAGACCCTTTTAATTAAAAAAATAAAAATAAACAAATAAAAGTTTAAAGCTCGTAGTTCTTGTCCACACTGTATCCTCACTGTTATTATTATTTAATATCTGAAAAGGATATATCTTGATGTCCTTTTCTTTTTTTCTTCTACAAACTCAAGGTTATTATATAACAACGATAATAAAATAATAATAGTATGCTACTTTTTATACAAGTTGGCTATCTTTACATTAAAAAAAGTTTAAAGAATCCAACTTTAATACATCTTGCCTTGTTCTTTCTTACATTTTGACCAACACTTGAAAATTCTTTTTTGTGCTCTTTTGAGATCTTTCAAAGGTAATGAACAAAACAATATAATATTTATATTTTGTGAAAAAATGGAATGCCACGTGGCAGCCTGCAATTGGGTTTACATTTCCTAACATTGAGGGTCCAGATTAGGTTTGCTATGTTGAAATTTGGTATATATGCAATGCAGCCAAATTAGACGGGTCATAATTCCACTAATTTTTGTATCAGATTATGGATTAAAAGAATTCAAATATGTCGATTAGATTAAGACACTTGCTTTTTGTTTGTTCAATTAATCTAATGATATTTTTGCCAAACTAAATCTAACAGGTGAGATTTAAGGATTCAGATTTTCATATTCATGGATGATACATCAATATTTTCAAAGCAGTGGGAACCTGTCGTCTTCGTAGTACACATTTTTAGAACATGGTTACATACTTCAATACAATATTTATTGTTTTTGTTTTATAGTATATTAGAAATTCGTTATTATGTTTATACGCAATGATATATTATTATAGTTTATATTTATATCAATAAAAAAGAGGGAGATATATATTCTTGAAACATTTTAGAGGTTTATTTTATTGTCATCATGTATTTGTTTGTTGTTGTTATTATTATTATTATTCAATGTTATCTCTTTTGTTTATTGTATTGGTGATTGATTGGCTTAATGTGATAAATAATTGTGATGTAGTGTTTTTAGGTTGCAATTATTCATGTTTTGAATATTAAGCAAGATTTGCTATCAATGATATGACACCACTCGAAATATGATCAATCGCTTCCGAATTCAGTCTCATAAAAAATCCAACATTTGGGGGTTTTAATTACTTTTTTTGGCATATTTTTTTGCACTCTTTTGGACTTTTTCCTAGTTGAAGGAATAATATTTTTGAGGTTCATGCTTCTATCAATCATCGATTATCTTGTACAATACAATTAGGTGATGTACATAAAGGGCATGTAGAGATATATTTATGCAAAAAAAAAAAAAAAAAAAAAAAAAAAAAAAAAAAAAAACTTTTTCTAAAAGTAAATCCAGACTGTCGATTTTTATAAACAATATAGTTGTTAGATTGTAATGGATTCAGAAAATTAAGTGGCTTGCTTTTGTTGATGAGATCATGTGAGAAATAGAACTTTTTCACAATCACTACCCTGTAAAGTTAACTTATCAAGTCATTGGAAAAGACATGAAAAAGGGTCTCAATTCTAATGGTATCCTTCTCGGTTCTCATTTTATTAAGTTAGGTTTTTTGTGAGGATAGAAAGTAAAGGTTTGCTCAAAAGTGAGAAGTGTTCATATGCTGAAAAGAATGTACGAATTCTCAAGATTAAAAAAAAATAAAAAAATCATTGTTCTTTGATTAAGATTGTTAAGGGAAACAACAAGGTTTTTCCAACACTTTGATTTTTATATATAGAACCGCTCGAGTCAAACCTCGTGTTTGACCCATGACTTGATGAAATAAGCTTGGCCCATAACCTCGATGGGTCATTTGGAGGCCATTATTGCTATTTCAAAAAAGTGCGTTATTGGTTGCGTATAAGCTACCCACACACACTGACACACCCAATATGCCTTCTTTAGACGATATGATCTTAGCCTATTTGACCTAAATCATCTTATGTTCACCAATTTTGCCTCCAAAAAAAAAAAAAAAAACGGGGCATGCAACGACTCAAGGTAGTTGATAACTAATAAAGGTGCTTGAAAAATAGAAGAAGATAAGTTCCTAAACTATCAAGAACAACTTTAAAAAGTGTTAACCTTCTCCCAAATAGATAAAACTTTCACCTTCCATTAAAAAAAAATAGAAATAATAAAAGTAATAGTATCATACTAATAGTAATAATACTTGTAATATTAATAGTAATAATAGTTTGCGGTTTTCATTATGTTGTTCTTGTAAACGTTCTATAAACCATGGTCATTAAGATGTTTTTTTAACGACAAACACAAAAACCAACGAATCATATTCTTAATTCTATACCTTTTGTCCATTACGAGATCTGAACCCTTGACCGCTTAGGGAGGGCCACATTTCCAATTAAGCTCCTACAAGCAAAAAAAAAATCCCGATAGGGCTATACGAAGCAATATCTAAATTCAGATCGTAAGATCTTAACTTGTTTTGATCTTACATCTTTTGTCATTATAGTGGTGCTTTAAATTTTTGTTCATTGAACTTCAAATCGAGCATTTCAAAGTCGTAAGAAGTCTGACCACTTTCACCCTTCATTTCAAACTAGGTATATTATTATGACACTCATATTTTTCCTTTGTGATATTATGTATGTTGTACATGGTCATACTGATCTTCCTTCCTTTTTTGATAATGATGTTTTATTTCTAGTTTTTGCGGTTCCCAACAATCAAGGTTGTATCAGTGGATGAGGTAGCATGGGCGAACGCCCATGACCTCTAATTTTTCAGGGCTCGTTTTTTATGTATCTACTTATATTATTGTAAGAAAAAAATTGTTTGATATTAACTCGTCGCAAGCATTGGGGAAAAAAGAAAAAAACGAGATTGGAGCCAAAATTGGTGTAGATGACGAAAATAATTACAATCGATTCATCAAGAATCTAAGCAAGTAATAAGTTATTGTTCATGTATAAAAAGTGAAGGGCCTTATTTTTTTGCCCGAGTCAACAATAAGTTATTGTTTATATGTAAAAAGTTAAAGTTGATTCAATACATCAATCTCTTAATCAACATCAAGTTATATCGAATATTACACAAACAAGATCATGCAAACAAATTTGAAGACTAGTTCGTTTTAGTAGGATCTTTTGATCTCCGATCTGATCTTAATCACTCAACTTTAAAAAAAAGTGTTTATTTGGTTTTTTTTTTTAAGTTTTAAAAATACCATTAAAATTGTTAATTTTTGATAAAATGACAAAGGTTTTCATGCAACTTATCTAAAACCATTTAACTTTTTTTTTTTTTTTTTTTTTTTTCTATAGTCATTAAGTTTTTGAAGTTGCATACGTTTGTTTGTATATGTATTTTTTCATTTTTTTTTATAATTTCATTTTTTCCTTTGTTTTATATAATTTTTTACAATTCATTTTTTTGCTTCATTTTTATATGTTTTTCAACAATTTGCTTTTACAACTTTACTTTTACTGCATATAACATGTTTTTTTTTCACAAAATATATTTACAATTTTAAGCTTTGTTTTTTAAAATCCCTTTTTACTTTATTTTTTCGTTCATTTTTATATTTTTTTACTATATGATTTTACAACTTCATATATTTACATTTTTTTTTTTCAAAATTTGTTTTTACAAGTTCATTCTTTTACTTAATTTTACAATTTTTTTTTACAGCCTATTTTACAACTTCAGTTTTACAAATAAATATAATGAAGCTATAAAAAATTGTAAAAAAAACATGTAAAACCGAAATAAAAAAAATATAATTATACAAATAGATTGTAAAAAAAAGTATAAAAACAAAGAAACAAATTAAGTTGTAAAAACGAATAATAAAAAACAAGTAAAAACGAACTAAAAAAATGAAACCAATGTAGATTGTGAAAACCCATATAAGTAAAAATATAAAGTTATGAAAACGTATTACGAAAAAACGAAATAAAAGAATATAAAAACAAGTTTGGACAAGAATATTTAAAAACAAAATAAAATAAATAAAAATATAATATTATAAAAACGAGTTACGAAAAAACATATAAAAACAAAAACGAAGTAAGGGGTATTTTCATCATTTCAATACCCAGGGACCATTTATGAGGTTTTCTCTTTTAAAAAAAAAACAAATATAATTATTTAATTAAAGGCCCTCTCTCTCTCTCTCTCTCTCTCTCTCTCTCTCTCTCTCTCTCTCTCTCTCTCTCTCTCTCTCTCTCTCTCTCTCCTTGTATAACTGATGGAACAAAAAAAAACCCACCACTCTCCCTCCTTCTAACTTCATCCCTCCCGAGGACAACCCAAATCTCCAACACCACTGAGAAACCTTCATCACCACCTGCCGTCTTCCTTGCCCCACTCTCTCTGAGTTCACGCCGATAAAACACAATGAAGAGGCAACGCAGCTTAACTACTAGGGACTAGAGGTATCTTCTCATTGATTTTTAGGTTATTATAACCTTAATTACTTGAGTCCTTTACCAGGTTATTATCAATGTATCCGCGTCCATGGTAATGAATCGACACTTGCAATCCAAGTTTTAGGTTAAGCTTCTTATAATTCTTGTATTGCGTCCTTGGTTTTTTTTTTCTTTTTAATGGTGGGCTACAGGGATGTCAAAATAAACGGGTCTTATACAGAGTACAAAGCGAGAGTTATGTTACTCTTGTCTCTTCAACTACATTTAATTAAAGAACCATAACAATCTTATTAAATTTGACTTAGAACTAATTAACCAATAGGTCATTGGTCTTTGTACATTACGAGAATTTGTATGAGAACATTCCTGTTATTGAATTTGTTTTTAGGATAGGTTGTGTTCCATAAAATGCTTATGTCAAAAACTGATTTTATGCACACCTTGGATTTTTCTGATTAGAATCCATTGAATCGTTGAGTTTCAAAATCTGCAAGACTCGTGATTTGAGCAACCATATCTTAACTATGGAGAAAAGAGGAAATATGGTCCCGAGCTCACCCTCACACACCCCAAGGTCCAGTGACAAGGCGGTAAGAGATATCAAACCAGAAGTACAAATGAATGGTAAACGTGACAGAGAAAAAGGTGTTAATGTTCAAGTCATTGTGCGATGCAGGTCTGTAAATTTTATATTAAAACATATATATGTAACTGATGGCGGAGCTACGAGTGGCGGTGATGGGTGGCGTGCTGTGGCAACTCCGCTGCCTCTTCCTTGTGTTCTATCAGCGTGAACTCAGAGAGAGTGGGGCAAGGAAGATGGCAGGTAGTGATGAAGGTTTGTCAGTGGTGTTGGAGGTTTGGGTTGTCCTCGGGAGGGAAGAAGTTAGAGGGAGGGAGAGTGGTGGTGGTGCTGTTTTTTTTTTTGTTCCATTAGTTATACAAGGAGAGAGAGAGAGAGAGAGAGAGAGAGAGAGAGAGAGAGAGAGAGAGAGAGAGAGAGAGAGAGAGAGAGAGAGAGAGAGAGAGATACCTTTTAATTAAATAATTATATTTGTTTTTTTTTTTTTTTTTTTTTTTTTAAATAGAGAAAACCTCATAAATGGTCCCTTTGTATTGAAATGATGAAAATGCCCCTCACTTAACGGTAGAACGCTGACGGAGTTAGGCAGAATGACCATTTGTTAAAAGTTTTGAAACCACAAGGATTATCTGTGAGGTTTTTTGAACTTAAGGACTAAACTTGATATTTTCGAAAACCACATGATTATTTTTGAAGTTTTATCAAAAAAAAACATATAACAAAATGTGTATAGAGAAAAAAAAAACGTTCCATACTTTAGACAACTTAAATAATATGATATCCATTGTTGCTATTTTGACCAAAGTTAACAAGTTTTAAAACTTATAAAAAGTTAAATCATATAAAAACAAGGGACAATTTCAAAAGTTTAGTATTAATCGAGCACATTACCTTAACTCCTTAACCCAACCTAAAACTAGCTTAGACAAATCCCGTTTGACAAACACTCTACACTCCTTCATCACTAAAAAAGGAATAACGCAACTACGCAAAAGTATCGCATAAAAGCAGCCAAAAGAAGCAATTTCAGATTCCATCTCCGTCGAGCAAAGGATTGAATTTCGAGAATGGCGCGGAGGAAGGAAGTAGTGGTTTCAGCTCTCCAGTTTGCTTGTTCCGACGATGTCGCCACTAACGTCGACACCGCCGAACGGTTTACTTCTTTTACTCACTCTGCTCCATTCACTACATGAAATTTAGGGTTTTTTTTGACGATTTCCAGTTTGCATATCTCGATTTAAACTTTATTGCGTCTGAAATTGCAAAATATACTATTGATATGGATAAGCTTTACAAAGCATAAGTCGTAGAAGCTTGAAAGAAGTGTCAATAATTCCCCTTACGTATCGGGACAGTAGTTTAGGATTTGAGCAAATAGAACTAGGTTTGGAGTTGTGATTGAAGTGCATTTGATCTAAATTAAAACGAATATTGCTATGATTCTGGTTCAATCAACGGGATTCATGTTTCCAATTGTCATTTTCACCTGTTGTGCCACTTTTAGCAAATTCACAGGCTTACGAATTTGTCATAAAAAGTAGTTCATGTTCTCAAAGAATGTTTTGCAATTTGCATTACAGGCTTGTGAGATCTGCTCATGAGAAGGGTGCTAATATCATCCTTATTCAGGTTTGCTTCTCGAATTTAATAAGATTCTCAAAGAATTAAACATTTTGTTTCACCTTTACCTCTATATCAGCTTATTCCAACAACTACATTCATGGTTGATTTTGTTAAAGGAACTATTTGAGGGATATTACTTTTGTCAAGCACAAAAGGAAGATTTCTTTCAGAGAGCAAAACCTTACAAAGATCATCCAACCATTTTAAGGTTAACACATCTCCACATCCCAACATATTATCATAATTCATAAATTAAATTTGTACATAACTTGATTACATTTACATGATACCATTTTCTTTTTAGTTAAGATCAAACATATAATTTTCAGGATGCAGAAACTTGCAAAGGAATTAGGAGTTGTTATACCTGTGAGCTTCTTTGAGGAAGCAAATAATGCACATTACAACTCAATAGCCATAATTGATGCTGATGGAACTGATCTTGGAATATATAGAAAATCCCACATCCCAGATGGACCAGGTTTAATATATTCTTATCATTTATTAAATTACCAAAAATCTCTTATATTTTTTTTATGTAAGTTTAATTAAAATTAATAGCCCCTTGTTTTTTTCAGGATACCAAGAGAAATTCTACTTCAATCCAGGTGACACTGGCTTCAAGGTCAGTTTTTTTTTTTAATACAGTTATACCCATGTTTCATATTAAATCCCCACTTTGACTTTTCAATGTAAGGGTAAAATAGTCATTTCATCTTTTGACAATTTATATTCTACTCTACAGGTGTTCCAAACCAAGTTTGCTAAGATAGGCGTAGGTATGAATTTTCAATTTTTCATTACCAGTTTGCCACTTTTATTATTAAACAAAAAAAAAAAAAAAAAAGTAGCAGCTTTTTACTTGTATATTTTAAAAAAGAACACAATTCTTTTCAGCAATATGTTGGGATCAGTGGTTTCCGGAAGCTGCTAGAGCCATGGTTCTTCAAGGTGCAGAATTACTATTTTACCCCACTGCTATCGGCTCTGAGCCTCAAGACGAAGGTCTGGATTCACGTGAACATTGGAAACGCGTAATGCAAGGGCATGCTGGAGCTAATTTGGTTTGTTAATTATAAAAATATAAATTATAATCGTGTTAATTTTTTATAAATTTAAAATAAAATATAAAAATCTATGCGTTCAGGTACCTCTGATAGCATCAAATCGCATAGGAAAGGAAGTGATTGAAACAGAACATGGTAAAAGTTCAATTACATTCTATGGGAACTCCTTTATAGCAGGTAATTATAAATGTCGGTTTTTTACCTCCAACTTTGAATGTATGTTCACTTTACACCCTGATTTTTAACTTCCTGACAAAAACAGGACCTACTGGAGAAATTATCACAGTTGCTAATGATAAAGAGGAAGCTATTCTTGTAGCAGAGTTTGACCTTGATCAAATTAAATCCAAAAGACATAGCTGGGGAATATTCCGTGATCGACGCCCTGATTTATACAAGGTACTTTTGACATTAGATGGAAGCAACCCTTCATTATAATTAATTATCAAATGTTTTCATAACAATATTTCATCATGAAAGGGACTAATTTTGTAATAATATTTTAAGCGTTTGAACTTTAAGTAAAATAAAAAAAACACATTATGTTTTTTTTTTTCGGTGTCTTTTTAATATCACGGGTGGAATGCTGCAAAGTGCTACACGTTGTCATGTACTTGTGCCTAAATTTATTACATGTAACGACTTTTTGGTGAAAGTTGCTACACTAGATAAATCAATTTTAAAAAAACTTGGACAAGTTTTTATTTTTTAAATTAACCATTTTGACATATTATATTAGATTTCGTCTGTAATTTTGTTAGATAAGGTTTTCGCTCTTTTTACCATTTTGAGAAGAAAAAAAAAACTATGAAACTTTTTGTGGTTTGATTGAAAAAATAAACCGTAAAATTGCAAAGAGTATAATGATTCTTATAAATTGTATCATTCACATCAAAGAACACTTTATTTGCAAGAGAAGTATTTTGGACTTTACAAATTGCATGCTAAATAATAAGCATGCTAATCACAATGGTTCTTCCCTAATCTCACTTTTCTCTATAACATCATCGGCTTCAACCTCATAACCGACTTTTTGTCCGTTTTCCCTCTCGACATCCACATCATCATCGTACTGAACAAATTGCAACTTCAATCGCCCGTCTTCTCTATATGCATGCAAAAGTTCTTGATTTTGGATCCTTACCTCTCTCAGAATAAGCCTACCATTAAATCGATATGATTCAAAACACACCTGTCTCCCGATTGAAGAAATTGGTGGTGGGATTTCCCTTCTTCTAATTCTTGATCTTTTCAAATCACCTGAAATTCTTGATTTTGGATGATTTATCATAACACCGAAACCTTGTGTGCACTCGTGTTTTTGAGCCCATTGATCGTTGAACTCGTGTGTATCATTGAAGCTATCGAAGATGGGTTGAGGGCTTTCACATGCAGCCATTTGTTTTCTTGTATTTTTTGTGGTTGCATGAAAAAAAAAAAAAGGAAATGAAAAATTAGAGGTGGAGAGTAGTTTTTGGAGAGAAAAGTGTTGTTTTGTTGTATTTTTGTGGTTGCATGAAAAAACTAATAGAGAAGAAAAGGAAGGAAGAGTTTTTTTGGAGAGAAAAGTGTTTCTTAGAGAGACCAATTGGTAAAGTCAAGTTTCATGGAAGGGGGGTGATGCTATTATATAGGTGAGTGTGTGTGTTGGATTAGAGATTTTGGTTATGATTTAGTGGTCACAAATTAATGTAGGAAGATATTTGTGTTTGGAAGTGGAAGAGGTTTAGTGTTTTTCGGTGATGACGTATTGTTTGGTGTTAAGTTTGATGTATATCAAATTTAAAAAACATTTTTTTCGTTTTTTAGGGAAAAACATAATGTGAAAATTTGTTGGAAAATGAAATAACTCATAAAATGCATTTCAAAAAATGATAATGTATTTTGTAATTCGTCCCACTTAGGTCATTATTTTTCTTAGTGCGTTAGTAAAGTATTTCACTTGTTTATTAGATAATGTGTTAATAATCATGGTTAACATGCTTAAAAGTATTAATTCAAAGCTATATATATGTTAATAATCATCAACAAGAACTTGACACGGCCAACTATATATGTTAATAATCTCCTAAACTACAGAATCTTTTCAGCCACTTCATCCTTCTCATGATCCTGCCCCTTTGTCTTTCTACTATTTTTTCTATTTTTCTTTATTAAAATTTACTATGAATTTAGTACTAACATCTATTTTTTCCCCAAATTTTCATATTTTCTTTTCTACTAATCCAATTCATGCACTTTTAACATGTTTCGTGTTTCAACCTCATATGACACGATACATTTTAAGGTCAAACCCTAACCTAAAACCTGATAGAAAAATAAACAGGTCACCCGACACGATAATTAAACAAGTCGGGTTACGACCGATATCTCTCAACTCGTTTGATGTTTTAATACGATATAAACCGGATATGATACAACACATTTACTAGGTCTAATTAGTAAATGATACAAAAATCATTTCAAAATCTTATCTTAATATTTATACAACAAAACACTCATATTTGTTCTTTTTATATCGATGGTAATGCTCCAAGTAAGAAGCAAAGAAAGGCTTTATTAAAAGAGATTTTGGCGGTCGTTGAATTAGAAACAATGACAAAAGTGCCTTTAAATGAAAAGGAGATAATTGATGACACACGATTAAAAATCTGACACTCTATTGAATCTTTGATATCTTCATTGTATGTCTCGTTCTATCCATCTATACCTATTTCCCCTTTCAAAAATAGTTGATAGCACAAGATTAGAAAACAATACGTTGGGGATTTTTTTGCTATGTTTTAACCCATTCAAAAGTCACATAGTTACCTAGGTTGCCCTTTCAAAAAAAAAATTTGAAGATTCTTTTGGACATTTCGTTGAAGGCGTGGAGTGTTGTACTTAATCAAAACATAACAAAACTATAACATGAGAAAAAACAACAAACATGAGTTTTTTACATCAATGCTGACACACAAATAAAGATTGAAAAACAACAAACATGAGTTCTTTACATCAATTGCAACACACAAATAAAGAATAAAAACAACAAACATGAGTTCTTTATCAACATAAGACTGAAATTCATCGGTATGTGTTGCACAAATAATTGATGCATCGTTGATAAGATAGAATTACATAGATCCATAGATCGAGTACATTTGCGCTATAGTACACCTACAATGCTTCATAATAATACAATTCCAATCTAAGAATTGAAATTTGAACTTTCACTTAGAAGTGAATTGTTGACAAAAATGAAAAAGGACCCCAACATTCAAGATAAGATGATAATCGTTGAATTAGAGGCCGGAGTTACTATATTTAGAGAGATAGAAGGGGGAGGAGTGATATTGAAAATGGATATTTATGTTGGAGCCCTAAACCCTAGAGAGAAAAAACGAGGAGACAAAAACACTACGGGAAAAGCGAGTGGGGCTTCTAAAACTTTTGAGTCAAATGATTCATAAAGAATTTTTTGGCTCGATATAACAAGGCTGGAAATTTCTCGATATAACAAGGCTGGAAAATGATTTAGGGTGTTTGAGATTGCTTATTTAACTCAATAAGCACTTTTCGATAAAACTGTTTATTAACTTATGTTGTGAAAAAATAGTTTCTAATAAAATGTTTGGATTAACTTATGTGTCGACAATAATCTATAAGTTCATAAACTATATTTAAAAAATATTTGTATTATCTTATAATAATTTTATATTTATTTTAGGTGAAAAAGATATAAGCATTTTCATAAAGTCGTGAGTGTGACTTTTTAAAAACTTGTTTTTGAGGGTAGTACAAAGTTGTTTTCAAAAGCATTTTTTTCCCAAACAATTTTTAAGTTTATTGACTTTTTTAAAAACTAATAAGTTAATAAGCACTTGTCAATCTCAACCCTAAACACCCCTGAGGAGGGTAAATAACTGTCATTTTTGTCATCTTTTGATTTCGTTCAAAAGTAGCCTAATGACTGACGATAATCCGTATTGCCGGTTGCATCTCCCAAAATTGTATACATATATTACTTTGCTTATTACATGGATCATTATGTGGAAAACAAACGTTACACCTAAACTCCCATCCTTTAAGGTCGATTAGGGTTTAATCAAACCAAATATCCTAACACATAATGTAATCGATGGTTGTAATCATCAAGAGTTACTGAAAATTGAAAATTTATGGCTTCAATTTCTTTTCTAAGTAACTTAGTGATCATGGATTTTCACTTCAAAGGTAGGTTTGTGCCTAACTTTCTTGTCTATTTTGAACCTTGTAAAGCATCTGTTTGGGATGTGGATTTCAGTAGAATGTGTTTTACAAAGTTTGTGGGATTTCTTGAATATTTAACTAAAGAGAATTGTACGAATGTTTATTGTTGTCTCAACAATGAAAGTTTATCTAGTTGTATAAATATATTGCACAATGATGCAGTTTACAATTAATTTCTTGAATATGATTATGTTAATGGAAATAGGATGAATGTATGAGATGACCACTAAAATGAATCCATATTAGGTTGAGGAGGAATTATTAACATTTGAAGATGAAGCAGAAGATATAGATGTTGACTCACAAATGTATGATCATCTTCCATGTGATTAAGGGAATAATTAAGAAGTTGTATCATCTATACTAATAAATAAAACCTATTTTCTGCCACATATCATGTCCTCATTGATTTGGATACATGGCATTTTAATAGCTTTTTAAAATTTACTTATCTGCACATGTAATTTTCTGATTTGTTCACATATCACAACTTATTTCGGTTACAATATTGAGAGAAATAAATGCTTCCTTGAAAAAGAATTGATATATTTATAATGTAATAAATATCATAATTAATGAGAGCTCTAAAATTGATATTGATATTAAATATTGATTTTAAATTTAAAGTTTAAATATTGATATTAAATTTTTATTTTTAATAAACTCGTGTAGTACACAAGTCTCATACCTAGTTTGATAAGAAAGTAGGGGATGCAATTTTGAAAGAAAGTTAAGTGGAAAACTATTGATCCCGACGTTAATAGTGGCCCAGATAAACAAGCTTAGAATATGAATTTGGATATATTTATTGAAGGTTTAAAATATGGAGAACACCTGTTAGTTATAGCCGAGAGGGATCCTTAAGAAATTGGAATAATCATCATGTAAAATATAATATCGATGTTCCCTGGAACTCAAAACCAAAGATTTTATTCTATAAATAATATCGAATGTAGATGTATTAAAAGAAACAAAATCATAGAATGGTAATTTAATGTAACGTTCACAAATTTGGGCTAGTCAATTTAGAGATAATAGGCGTTATAAATAACTTTTTTGATAGAAGATTTATGACAAATAGTTTAACAAAAATTTTAGTATACGTGACAAGGATTCCATACATATAAAGAACGCTAAAATCCAACTTCGAATGAAAAAGTTATGCTTATTCGAAGTTTCACGATTAAATCAGCACGTTGGATGACAAAGTTATAAATTTTTAACGGACTTTAATAGTCTAAACCTATTAAAATATAACTTTAAAAATAAATTCAAAATTAGCCGGTGGAGTCTAAATGAAAATTATAGATCTCGTTGATAGCTACGCGTGGATATAAAAAATGTAAAAAACGGAGCTCGTACGCGAAAGTTATGAATTTTACAAGATAATTACTTTTCGGCAAACGAGGGTGTGACACGTGTTGTGCTTTGGCATACCCCCTTCCTCCCCACGGCTGGTGACCAGATGCTGACATGTGGCACATTATGCATAGGGTAATTCTCTAACGCTCAGCGTACTACACTTTAAGTGTAACTTATATTTATAGTCAGTGTTGTAAAACTCACCGAGTTGGCCGATTACTCTTCCGAGTACTCGCTACCCGGCCCTTACCGATGCGAGTTACAGAATCCCGAGTACTCCACAATCGGCCCTTACTGAACTGAGCAATGTTGAAAACTCAGTCAACTCGATGATTAATATGTGTAATATACTTAATGATTTACTATTTACCACATACACATGTGATTATTACTACATATATATTTTCAGTAATTACTCACGAAATGAGACTATTCTGTGTTTTTCAGTTTTTGTATATTCACATTTATCTAACTTTATTATATATTTTAATCAACTTATGATTTTGATATATATAATTTCTCTAAAAATATTTCTACATGAATTCCTAAATCCCCGGGCACTCCTGAGTACTCATTACTCGGTAGTCGGCCGAACAGGTACCGAGTAACAAGTTCTACAACTTTGTTTATAGTCATAAGTAGCTATTATGAACCTATAGATAAGATTTGTCAGTGATTCCAACATCATATTACTGATTGATCTACTTACAATGATGATGTTTAGGTTGGATTTAGTGAAGTGTTTAAAGTAAGATTTCTAAACAGTATACTTTGTATACCAAACGG